ATGTCTCTGAAAGAATATAAATCATTAAAAAGATAAAAACAGCAGTGAGAGAGGATCACAAGAAGAGAGTTCTGCATCTGTGAATCAGTGCTATGGAGTAAAACAGTAACTTGGATAACACTACCTCTAAAACGTGAAGAAGAATTTTGAGAGATCCAGCACGAACATCGATGTTCTGAGCTGAAGAATATAGCACTTTCAGTGGAGAAATGACAGCACACTCCAGTGACCTCAACTCTATATTCTCAGTTTGTACCTAGAGAGTTTGTCAAAAGTAAAGATTATTACCACCTAGCATGCAAAAAGTCATGACCTTTGAATGGAAGGTTAATTCTCACATCATTGCATGCACCCTGGAGCTTGGATGATGCATATTCCTGGACCTGATTAGATCCTAAAACAGCGGAAATAGATTGATCCATTGCATTCAGTGCTATAGTTCTCACATGCTGATTTGAACTATCAGTAAGCTACAAAAACATGTGGGCATTAGAACAAAAATAACAAATGCAACCATAACATTTTATGAAATTAGGGATTAGATTACCTCAATAAAGTGGCAAATAACTTCATTCCATAATGGTCCCACCCCTGTTATAGAAGATTACCATAATTTAACTGTAACGAGAAAAGATAATGAAAATTTGAAAAGGTTAAACATACAGATGCAGCAGAATGTGTGTGTGTGTGTGTATTTTTGAAAATTGCAGCTAAGTGTATGTTAATAGATTCTTGACAAATATTTGAGATTATTAGCCTTCCGTTTGGCCATAGATTTTGCCAAATTTTTTTCCAAAAAAAAATTGGCAAAACATGTTTGTTTATAGATTTTATCCATGTTTTGGCAGATTTTGAAAACAAAATTTCCAAATCCCAAAACTAGCTCTAGACCTTCTTATGTGGTTGAAGGAAAGGATGTTGTCTCCTTATGTAGCCTTGGGCAATCAACTTCATGAGCTAGCTTTTGAGATTGAGTTTGGCCCAAGGTCCATTTTATAAAACATTATATCGGAGACAGATCCACTACTTCTTTCTATGTTTTCAAAATAAGCAAACTGAAGTTGGTTTCTCCTCCTTGAGGTGGACGGAGCCGGTTAGAATATCAAGGGAATACTTGTCTTGATTCACTGACTTGAATAAGGGAAATATTGTAGAATATTCTATAGGATACCTTATGAATTACAAAACATTCCTCTGCTATCAGTTTTCAATACTATACAGACTATCAGTTATCAGCTTTCATTTTCAATTTCAGATTTCAGTTAAATGTCAACTATCAAATTATAAAATGTTATATAAGGGTATTATTGCATTCCATATTTTTATTAAGCAAGTTTTTCAGGACAGCATAAGGGGTAGTCAATGAGACTTACTGAGTACCATGACAGTGATACTTAACCTTCGGGCATCTACTTACTATTGTGTAGAGCTAGTACCTAACCTTCGGGCGTCAGGGACGAGATGTTTGGCTAGTACCTAAACTTTGCAGATCCAGTTGGTGAGCTCCGCTTCTTCTAGCGGTAGCCAATTTTCGGTTTCAGATACATTGGTTAATCTTTATTTTGATTCCGAGGATGCCCCACACATTTGTGTACCTTGCTCTTTATCAGATCATTATATGAATTCGGATTCAATTACATAATTTACCTTGCTCATTATAAAATTGTGATATAAATTCAATGTTAAAA